TTATCAATATTAATTAATTAGATCCCTCGATAGCTTTTGATCTGAAAATCAATTTAACTTTAAAAAATTGGTTGGATTTTTAACTAAAATTTTTAATTTTCTAATATTTAAATTTTTTGTTTGTTTTTTAAACTCTTGTATGAAATGAAATTAAAAAAGCTGCGATTTCACAAAGTCATACAAGTTTATCGCATAAATTGTATACTCTCATTGTGTATAGTTTGCAGTGATTCGAAATAAATTTTGAAAATTACATTAAAATTACATATACAGTCCCTTTAAGTTGAAAGTTATGATTGTGCAATATTGGCGCTTATTGGATTAAACTTGTAAAGTTGTGAGTACAGCAGACCTAGAGTCTGGAAGTCAACCTTCAATATTATATATATCGTATATTGTTTTATTCTTTAATATATATATATATATATATATACATATATATATATATATATATATATTGTAATATTCTTTAATATGCATATGTATATGTATATATATTGTATAAATATTGTGTATTGTTTTATTCTTCAATATTTATATGTATATATTGTATAAATATTGTATATTGTTTTATTCTTCAATATTTATATGTATATATTGTATAAATATTGTATATTGTTTTATTCTTGACCTTAAAAGGTGCAGTTCGAATTTGAGGAAGGGGGATGGAAGAGGGGCAGGAGGAAGATTATGGTGCAGCGTGAATCGTGAAATTATTAAGATGACGTGTGTAATTGTATTGTGTAATGTGCATATCAGGGAATAAGGGTATAAAGGGGGTATGTGATGATAAAGAAGAAAAGTGATTCCTATATTCAAAATTTATTTTAATAGAGTAAATATAATTTATTTCTAGAATTATGTATTTCAATTTTGACCAGCGTTCCAGAGTTCCTTTAAAAAATGTTAAGCCCGACCGGTTTACCCGTTTGGACGTTTATTGGAAACAAAAAACATCGAAAGACAGACAGAAAAGCCAAATTTATCTTTTGTTCATACATGTACATAGATCGATTTTTAATCACCTTGATAATGAATTATAGAAAGTAATGTGGTATTCATTATTCCCAAGTTTTTAATTTTCATTTGCAGAGAGAAAAGATTTTTTATTTTGTGTTTTATTGGTTTCAATACATACACCAACGGTTTTGCGTCTAATTTGCGTCTAATTGGAAAATTTTGGTAAAAAAAAGAAGATTTTATTTCAATATTAAATCTAAATTTTTTCCCTCTTTCTAACTTCAAAGTTTGGGATTAACAGAAACCCGAATTTAACCAATTTTCTAAAGTTCCAAGCGTTTACCAAAATTTGAAACAAAAAAGATTCCACGGTCAGGTTCTAATTTATCCCTGTAAACCGAAAGAATAAAAAAGTAAGATAAGAAGCGATCAAAAGCACTTATTTTTCACTGTAAGCCTATACCCCTTTAATTTTTTGCGAACACTCCCTTTAAGTCCCTAAAATCTTGTAAAAAAAAAACTTTTAAAAGTGCCGCAATATATTTCCGTGGTTAGAAAGTTACTTTTTTTTAAGGGAGGGGGGATGTAGGTATTTGTTTACATTTTTATGTGTCCCACCTTCCTGGGCAGTATACACTAATGAATTTAGTGCCGGAGCCCCCAAATCCTTGAAATTTCGTTTGCAATGTTAGTTTAAGATCCGTGCCAAAAATATTCACACTTTTATGCAAATACTTGAAAACCTGGAGTACACTCACAATCAAATATATTGTGTTATTAACATGTTTCTATACTCAAAGGTCAAAACAAGAAAAATTTTAAATGATTTTACCATTCTTAGTGTAGATTTCCAATCTTTTAACAGAAAAAATAACAAGGATCAGATTTGCAATTCAAAGGGACAGCAATACATATTACAAGAAGGAAATGATTTATTTGATGCACTATCCTGTTGTGCCGGGAAAAATATCCTGTACAAAGTACATGTATTGTGAACGTAGTACGTACACGTGCATGCAGTGCACTGTACACGTATTTCAAATGAATTAGAAAAAAAATTTGTGGGAAGATTACAGTTCTTGCAGATTTAAATTGTCTCTGGCACAAACTCTGATTTTCTAATCCCTATATCTTTGCAACCCAAAGGTTTACACAATCAGGTTGCAAAGATATAATCATATTCATATAAGCATTAGAATAATTGATTCTGTGACAAAGACTCAATTCCTTAGATTTAGAAAACTAAATCAGATGATTTTTAATAATCATTACCTTATGTCCTTTTTTAAATATCTATAATAATTCTAAACATCATTCTTCTTTTTCTAAAAAAATCATATTTATATTAATAAATGCGCAAAAAAATCCCGGTTTTTCAAAAGTTAAAGAGCGCATCTTAACAGGACATCTCTGATTGGTTGCATTTAAACTTCTTTCTTAGATATCGAATGCGTATTAACCTAATCTTGGGTTCAGGAGATCAGGCATTGATCTCGATATACTAAAGTTTTCAGCTCTGAAAACCTAAGAATGGTGGATCACGAGATCAATGCTTGATCCTCTCTTTTTACTAATCTCAATACTAATTTAAATTTAGAGATTAGAGATGCGCCTTTTAACCTTTTGAAAAACCAGTTTTGAATTTTTCCGCATTTGTGGTGTCATATCAGTTGAACTAATGTTCGATTGAACGAACTTTAGTTTTGGATTAATGTTTATTAAAACTAACGTTCAAAATGACTATGTCCTCAAATGTGATAAGATATGTAATTAATTAGGTTCATATTAACATGATTAAATTAATATTTGTTTTAAACGCCGTCTTTTGAACAGCTAACTTTAGTTAAATCGGAAAAGTCCAATCGATTTAATCGTATCTGTAATTCGTAACTTTAAAAGAGGCATCCAAAAGAGAGAATTTAGAAGAAAATCAAAAGTGTGTACATTGGATACTCAGATTAAGCAATCAAGATTCAGGATATCTAATTCTAAAGTTTTCAGCTCTGTTGTGGTTTAATGAAGAGCAAAGCAAGGAAGATATCATGTTAATCATGAGCTTTAATATTTTTTATATCTTAATTGATCTGCAAAAATGAATCATCGAACAATCGTGAATATTTGATTACAACATGCCGGATGTTGAGGTTTTGCGCATTTCCGCAAACTTTTTGGCGAACTCTTGGTCAGAAATTCTGACTAAATCATCTTCAAGCTTTTTATTTTATTGTTATTTTGCTTGTTACTTGTTAGATAGTAAATTCATCTGTAAATCAGACATGAATATTTGTTTGAAATTTAAATGTGCACAGGGGCGCAACTTCCCCCCCCCCTGGAGGTGGAAAAGGATTTTTTTGGGGCAATAACAGGAGCAAATTAAAAATTAAAAATTCTGGGAATTTATTCAAACATACTTTTTCTCTTCTTCCTGCTTATAGGAATACAGAACACAGACACAAGTTTCAACAAATAAAAGGTTTCTGTAGCATCTCTGAATTTATGTTTTGTTGGGATTTAAGCTTCATGTTGTTTAAAAATACATAATTTATATGTTATTCATGTAGTTTGCACTTGCAGTCTAAAATTTGAAAATAATTCGTCTAGGTATTTCAAATTTTATGTTAATGACCTTCCAGAATTTGCATTTATAATTATACTGATGAAAAATCAAGCTTTGTAGTTTTATATTGCATCTTTTTTAATTTGCAATGCATTAAATAAACGTTTAAATGATTTGCAACAGCGCCCTTTAAATCTTCACGATCAAGGATTACATGCATAAGTCTTATTTTTATTATAAGAGCTAATTCTGCCATACATACTGAAGAGAAGTTTATCTACGTCATCATTGCCCAGAGAAAGGTTTACACGGTGCCATTGTGAATTAGATATACTTCAAATGGTGGGTCACTTAAAGTTACGTCTACAATCCCTTTAGCGGGTTTCTATTTACATTTGTAGTTTAGGTGCAGATGTAAACAAGGATTAGAAGAATATGTAGGATTTATAAAACCTTTTACATAAAATTAAATTTACAGCGGAGTCGTTCGGGACAACAAAAGAAGACAAAAAGACATTAAGACAAGAGGACAAGAAGACACGAAGATAAGATGACAAGATGACAAGAAGACAAGAAGAGAAGAAGACAAGAAGACAAGTAGACAAGGAGACAAGTTGACAAGATGACAAGAAGACAAGATGACAAGATGACGAGATGACAAGAAGACAAGAATACAAGAATACAAGAATACAAGAAGACAAGAAGACAAGGAGACAAGAAGACGAGAAGACATAAAGACAAGAAGAAAAAACCAGGCAACAAAACAACAAGACAAAGAGGCAGCAAGACAACAAGACAACAAGACAACAAGACAACAAGATAACAAGACAACAAGACAACAAAACTACAAGACAACAAGACAACAAGACATCAAAACAACAAGACAACAAGAAAGCAAGACAACAAGACAACAAGACAACAAGACAACAAGACAACAAGACAACAAGACAACAAGACAACAAGACAACAAGACAACAATACAACTAGACAACTAGACATAAAGCAACAAGACAACAAGACAACAAGACAACAAGACAACAAGACAACAAGACAACAAGACAACAATACAACTAGACAACTAGACATAAAGACAACAAAACAACAAGTGAACAAAACAACAAGACATCAAGACAACAAGACAACAAGAGAACAAAATAATAAGACAAACTTTATAAATCTGACAAATAAATAAAAAAAATTAAACAGGCAATACGACCGGAAGAATAAAGAAGATTCTGAGATGATGGATCATTCTCTATTGTACAATACAATGTGTAAAATTCCAAGATATTGTTAAATAAAATATTTTAAAAAGTCCAAGGGAAAGATGAGGAAAGGCTTGAAGAACAATCTGACCTTGATTGTTTGCAGAAATACCCCCTCCCCCTCCTTCCCACCATCTCAGTGCTCATACTGCTTTGCGCGTCAGGTTCTGGCCATCCGTATGTGTGCGCTCAATCCACGCTCATTCTTCAGAGAAAATCCGCGAAACATCTTCAGTTGTGTGTTGTGTGCGTGTGCGTAAATACGCAACCAGTGATATCAACGTGAGTTGCTAGGTGGACAAACTTTGAAAATTACAATTTTTTTTACATATATGGGATAAAATAAAAACCAAAACATTTGATTTATATTTCCTCAAATCCCCTAAAGTGGAACACATTAATTCTTAAGAAAGAAGGAAATTCAGAATAACATTTGGACCATTAAAGGTTTTAATAGCATGCGTTAAAATCAGCTGCAAACTGGAGACAAAGGAAATCAAATTCGTTAAGCTGCAATATGTATTTGAGAGACGGGTAAATAGTAGAATGATTTAAATTATTTAAATTAAACATTTTTTTCTCCTTGGAAAAAATCGTGTGCAGACAGGCAGAAGTGACTTGGTACGAGAACAAAAATTTACCTTATTTTGAAATATATCAGAAATCAATGTTTGTTTTATATGGGTTGAAATGGAAATATTATAGACCAAGTTCAAGTTAATACTTTGATATAATTTTTGAATTATGAAAGTTTGCCATTTTGGAGGCAGAGGAGGTTTAACCTAAATAAAGTTTGGCCTCATTCTCATGGATTTGAAGATTCCGACATTATAAAATCATTTCAAAGCTTTAGTCAAACTATGTCTATTGCTCTAACGTGGCCAGATTTTCAAAAAATATTCGCATCAAGTATTGGACACATAAAAAATATTCGCATCAAGTATTGGACACATAAAAAATATTCGCATCAAGTATTGGACACATAAAAAATATTCGCATCAAGTATTGGACACATAAAAAATATTCGCATCAAGTATTGGACACATAAAAAATATTCTCATCAAGTATTGGACACATAAAAAATATTCGCATCAAGTATTGGACACATAAAAAATATTCTCATCAAGTATTGGACACATAAAAAATATTTTTAAAAGGACCAGGATTTTGAGGTGGCTCGGACGAGAAAATGAGGAGAATGGGGCTCGGACTAGGAATGGTTGTGGTTGCCTTCCTCCCGTCGTTCGACTGAACTAAAATAAGTTTTGATACTTAAATATTAAAAAGTGTAGTGCAGTTTCTGGGGGGTAATGTAAACAAAACCTGGCCAGAACAGCACTGAGAATGTTTATATTTCTCCTGGCAATTTTAGTACACTTTTTATTAAACAAAGATATGGGGGGTTGGCCATTCCAATGCTATATATTTAAGTAAAAAGTAAAAAGTAATGAAAGCGAAATAAAAATCATTGATATAGTAATTATCTTTTTGAATTCTCCATTCTTTCCCGAAAACTACTGGGTGTTTCAATAAACAGGAAAAAACAGGGGGGTATCATTGAATTTAAATTTCCCCATTTTCCCGGGAACGGCTATTTTGAAAACACTGGCCCACTGGGCAAGTTTGCAGATAGGAGAATTAGGACGGCCGGATATAAGCAGGAGGGAAGGGGTGGTGGGGCAACTAATATATTAAACGTGCGTTTCTTTATTTTAGAATTAGTTTTTTAATGAAAAGTAGAGCACTCACTGCGATTTAATGGTCTCACGCTCTCAAACAAAAATCGTTGAGAATTTGCACTTATAACCCCATGCAATGAGCCATAATAAAAGTTTATTGAGCACAGTAGTTTGGATATATAAGTAAAGAAATCCATTAGTCTTTGCTGCTTATTTAGATGGATCTCTAATTGGATTATTTGAATCTATTCTATTGGTACTGAGTACTCACTAAGCACGTGAGTAAACCCTGATTGGATCAGAGGCTTCTGGGTGCAACTACTGTGTGAGGGGAGGGGGCCGGGGGGGAAATATATTCATAAGGTTTCATAGGGGAAATGGGGGGGGGGTGGCAACGCCCATTTCCGTTTCCCCTTTAAATTGCATTTTTACTTCTATTTTCTGAAGGATCCCTTGAAGATATTAATTTCAACGTGAGCTCACGACTATAATTAATCTTTTAGAATTAATATATCTTATCCAGATGATAAATATACACAACATGGCGTTGTTTCAAACCTTACAAACTAGCAAGAAGTATCAGCATGTTCATTGGAGGGGGCACATGGCATTGAGAACAAATTTATGAACTGGGGTCCGGATGTTAAAATGTATTTTACAATATTAGTCTGGTTGTTAAAAAGAAGAAAAATGGAGAAAGGAAATTGAATTGAAATACTGAAGGAAAAAAATAGAAAAATAAGATATAGACTTTAGCCAGGAGATAATTGAATTTGAGTAAAAAATATAATTAAACAACAAGATTCTGTCCAAGGAGGAATAGAACTAGAGAGAGCTATATAATTGAACAACAAGATTCTGTGCAAGGAGGAATATAACTAAGGAGAGCTATATAATTGAACAAATATGATTCTGTGCAAGGAGGAATATAACTAGGGAGAGGAATATAATTAAAAACAAGATTCTTTGCAAGGAGGATATAACTAGGGAGAGGAATATAATTAAAAACAAGACTCTGTGCAAGGAGGAATATAACTAGGGAGAGGAATATAATTGAACAAATATGATTCTGTGCAAGAAGGAATAGAACTAAATTGAACAAATATGATTCTGTGCAAGGAGGAATATAAATAGGGAGAGAATATAGAGAGGACAGGGGCTGTGTTAGAGGTGGGTATCGTTATTATCCGTTTTTAGACATTTTAGGATTCTTGGATTGTTGGACGCTTCACAAAAATCTACGAAGTCTTACGTAATTCCAAATTTTATTTCAGTTTTCTGTTATTACATTTTGCACGAATCATTGGTTCAATAACAAACAATTTGAAAAACCGTACAGGCTTATATCTTCTGCCAGAGTTAAGATTTTGCACATTGCAATAAAAGCAAACTTTTAGAGAATACAATATTGCAATATGTAAAACTTGTCAGGTTTTTGGAGAGTCTCATGAAAGCCTAAAAATACTAAATGTAAAAAAGGAAAATAACGATGGCCAACGTTAGCCTAACATTTACTGTTGTTTTATGTTTGTTTACAAAATAATTCTGCTCTGTCCTTACACGTCATGTCATAGTTAAATGGATGAAAACCCTTAAAATATTTAAAGCATGGTGTTGATATTACTCCAAATAAAAATGAAAATGCAGTTGCCATTAACACATTTTTTCAAACATATATTTCGGTGTGGGTTGACCCTCTTCATTTCTTGAGAAAACATATTCAAACAAATATATGTTTGGTCACCTATTTTGTGAATTGTACAATGTACCTTTAACATTTGTTTGAAGTTTGTCCCTTTAAGATATTTTCTATAATCATATATACAGCCAAATATATGTTTGATAGCCTGTGTCGTAAAGGAGTAATTGGCAAAATACTTCTCGATTTTTTCGTGAGAGTGCGCAACTCTTGGTTTGCAGTGCCATATGTGTAATCACCTATTTTGTGAATTGTACCTTTAACAAATGTTTAAAGTTTGTCCCTTTAAGAGTGTAGAGTAGAGGAGGAGCAGAGTTGGGATTTCTGGGCATTATTAAAACTAGAAGAATGGGACCAACAAGAGAACACTCACAGCTATTCTGGGTAAGTTTATCTTTTTTTTACTGTGCTTAAATGGAATATAGATGTAGTTTCATGTGAACCTCTCTCCGCTTCACAATGGCACTTCTTAAAGACGACGTATTTTTCTAACTGAAAATACACTGTACAGTCTGCACTCCATTCGAAAGACAACACACTCATGATTCCCGAAATTACTCTATTTCCAGCTAGAAAAATTATGGATTTAAACGAGGTTTTTATCAGACCAAGGTTTAAAGGGTGCCTTTGTGAATTGAAAATGCCACTAAAAAATGGAGGTTCACTTGAAACATGTTTTATAGTCCCTTTTAACTAACGGACCCACTACACTTCCCCCCTACACTAATAGTTAACTCAGATATAATTTACAAACTGTTTGATATTGTAGAAAAGGGTAAATGATTGATTTCTGATCGAAATAGGGCAAGATTGAAACAATAAGTCCAAATGAGCTGTAATTATCACAATTCATGTCAATTTGTGACATATAATTAATTCAGGGGAAAAAGGTCATTGAACTATTTTTAAAAATGTTTCGGTATCTACAATATCACAAAAATTTTTCTTCCTTTTTTTAATATCTAGTATATAGAGGTACCAAGAAATATAGAAAATTAATTAAAGGTGACTTTTAAACTCATAATTTTTAGTAATAACTGAAAGATTCTACGCGTACCATGTCCATGTGAAAAATTCACTGCACTGTAAATTTAATCTTGTTGCCCAAAGGTCGGTCATGTACTTTTAATGAACCGAAATATCTACAGTGAAGATGAATAATTTCCCCAGGTTTCTTGTTGGGTTGTCACGGTAAAATATGGTTTAAATAACCCTGGTGCACTGCTCGTTATTCATACCAAGTGCAGGGTCAAGTGATCGTGTGAACCGTACTGTGTAGAGTGTACATTGTACAGGCTATTACGCAGATTTAATGGGTGAGGTGAACTGAGAAAGATGAGATCAATCCATGTTCTGCTACGATACCTCTCCCTTTCGCATTCAAGTCTCCGGAATTTCTAATTTTAAGGATTATATGCCAGGGCATATGTGATGTGGAATGTGAATTCGATAATTGATATATTTCAGTGTTACACATAATAAGTACAAAAATTAAAGCCTTAAAATCATCAGAAATGTTTAAAAAATTGGATGAATTGGAATTTTTAAAGTTTCTCTTTGGTTTTTATAAGGTTTTGATTTGAGTTTTGACGTTTTATGAATGGGTATTTTGGCGTAAAAGAGAATTTAAAGATAAAACTCGCTTTGTGCTCATTTCAAAGCATTCATGCTCTTTTCACAGTTTAGACCTGTCTAGGCTTTAGAAGGGGTTGAAGTTGAGAACTAAAACCAAAGTGATGAATTGCATGAATCTGGATGAAGAGATGAATAGATGAATAGATGAATAGATGAATAGATGAATAGATGAATAGATGAATAGATGAATAGATCAATAGATATTTAGATATAGATTAAAAGGTCTGTAGATATCATATCTATAGTGAAACTATAAGAATGAAACGAACTTTATTAAGATGTGTGATCTTTGCGTTGCAATATCATTTCATGTTTTGCATTTGGGAGAATACTAGCAAGGTCTACGTCATCCCCAGCCTCAAGCCGAAACATGACGCAAATAAATATTTTTTTACCAGTCAACAGAAAGTACAGACCATACGAAAATTATATATTTATCAAGCATTGTCATTTTTTTTCAAGGACAGCACGTCAAACTAAAGTAAATTGGACATACAAATCTTTTATGTTTTCAATCATAACTTTTCTTATTGAGGAATTATTTGGAGGAAAAATTGTAGTATAATGGCCGGACAAATTGGCGTTTCATATAATTGCGCGTAAAATTTAAAAAAGGGTAGCTGCGCTCGTCACAAAATTGTACCAGTTATTTCTAATAAATTTGACCCTATGCTTGTGTCTAGTTTCTAGTAACAGCTAAACAGGGTTATCTTTATCTATACAAATTTCGGAGCTTCGTCTAGGGGTTTAGCACATTTTGAGTATATTTTTTTGAACAATGAAAAGGAAAAAAAATATTTTTATGTGTTGGATTTTACGGAAAGTCTCGGAATCATATTGAATTTATATCTCTTTTTAAAGATTACTAAAATGTTTGTAAATTGTTATTGGTTTTCTTAAAATAGAGTATAACGCAAAATCACGCAATAAGAATAATAATAATTATAATAATGATAATGATAATAACGTCCAAACTGTATAGTAAGTACTAATGGGCTGCGATGAACAGGCTTCATGATCAGAATAATTTTTCTATATTTTTTGATTTCATCCTGCATCATATACTATAACAAATATAAAATGTATCCATACATAAAGAACTAAACAAACGCCACTACCCTTATTTTCTAACCCAAATAGTTTTTCAACCTGATAATTCATTAGCGTTTTAATTTTGAATTTGTGACGAGCATTTAGTTCTTTTCCTGATTTTTTTGAGGTTTGTTTGTTTCTTTGTATTAAAGGGACTGTAAACATAATCTCAAGTGACTCTTTACATGCAAAGATGGCAATTCCCGATTCACAACCGGTACCTTTAAACGCTTTGTCCATCAAATTCCCGATTCACAACCGGTACCTTTAAACGCTTTGTCCATCAAATTCCCGATTCACAACCGGTACCTTTAAACGCTTTGTCCATCAAATGAATAAGATATTAATGTTTAAAATTTAGAAAAAAAAACATAATTTTCAATTGTGGTTTCTCTACAAAAGTGACTTGCGCATATCTACTCCTGAAAAGCATCTACGAATTATCTAAATCAAACAATTTAAACCTAGAAAAACGAAAGAATAAAATTCAAATCTAATTTTTCGGTTTTATTTCAGAATAACAAAAACAAATGATTTTATTGAAATTGACCAATCTATACAAACTATATAGTCATTGTTTTGAAATATTCTTTTATGCCTCCCATCTATACCCATTTTATTATTTAATAACAATGATTAGTCAATTCTAAACATTTCTTTCTTTATCTCAAAAATAAAATCAATATTTATCATCTATTAATAACACGCATTAGGATAAATAAAGATACTTGAAACAATTAATAATTATATTTATTTTATTGTTGTTTGAACTTGAAACCCTCAGATTTCATGATCACAGTTTTCTTAATCGAAAATAATAATTTCACATGGGAACATTTTATTTGATAAATGTGTCTGTTAATTCTCGCCATCTGGGAGAAAAGATTTTACTTTTTATTTCATGCCATTTATATACTTTAAACATTTCAATTTCGCTGTTTCATGGAAATTCACCAAAGAAAACAGATTTTTTTTATTTTTTAAATTTTCTGATGTGCGAAGAAGAAATGATTGCACAAAAACACCATTTAGAAGTTAAAATTATTACTAAGAAAGGGGCGCCAAACATCCTATTAAAAGATTGTAATAGCATAGCCATTTTTCAACCTACTAAAAAAATTTCTTCGAAAAAGTAAAATATATTATTTCTTGCATGAATGCATGCTCAAAGCCACGGTGATTTAGATGTCTATAAATGCCCCTGCCACAGCGCTTCCCTCCCTGGAATATGCCCTTGCACTTAAAACCAACAATTACACCAGACTGCTAAATTAGAGTGAAGATGATTTATTATTATAAATCTTGTCAAGTACTTTATTATTAAGAGCAAGGTACTAATGCAAGGAAAGTTATTTCAGAGGTGTACGCATTTTTTTGTACTGCAGTGTACTGTCTTTGGGCGGAAAAGTAAGCACAAGACGGATGTCACAGCCTGACATGGAATCCATTTTCACAAAAATAATCTATGAAATATTCTTGTCATAGGACACTATTATGTGAATTTTCAAAATTATCAAAATTAAAGGCTTTTAACCTCCTCGGATACTAAACGAACACTGATGCATCTATTCTTGTTTACAAAATCCGCCCAGAGAGAACTGGTTTCAATATGTACGCAAAGTATACGCGACTGCAATTAAGTTTCCTTGCATTAGTACCTTGATTGAGAGTAAGGCCAGATCCTACCAAACCCAGAGTATGTATCAATATGAAAACATATTTAAATATAAGAAATTGAGATTTTTTCATTTGGCTATTTTTTACGACAAAATTTTTTTATTTCATGGTCTAAGGTGTTTTTTTTTCATATTATAATTGGACGCTTTCGCTTTCGGATGAAATAAGGCCGAAAGCTAATTCTTATATTTTTCTCTTACCCACCATGAATATGTGAAATGTTTAAATTTAGGTGGATTTTGAACTTGATTTAGTTCACACGATTATCTCCTACAGAGGTGTAATGTGTATGCAAGTGTATCAGTTTGACGGAGGAGGGAATTGTCAAGAGATGTAATTATGTTTAAGACAAGGTCATTAAATCTAAATAATAATTAGTTTGATGAATTATTGTAAACCCCTCCCCCATCTTTATATTCAAGAATTGGATAAAATTATTTTTAAGAAATATGATTTACATTTTACATACAGGGTTACCCACAAAGGATAAGTCTTAAAAGGGACTGAGGATGCCATTTCAAGTGACCTTTCATTTACAGGATTGATGTTCGATTCCACAACGTTAAACTTGAAACAGATATCTGAGTAACAATGCTAAAGATTTTGATTCTAACAGCCTCCTTATGTCTTTATAGCGAAATTCCGCAAGTCACTTTTACAGAGAACCATAATTGAAAATAACTTTACAGCAAAAAAAACCAAGAATATCAGAGTCCAAATTTAATGAATTTGAGCCGCGTCTCAAATCTTCTAAAACCCGGTTTATAAACATGAGTGTAGATTTTGGTTTTCATAACGATACCCTGTCTTATTTTTCGGACTCAGGAGTCCATTGAACACAATTTTTATGCTTGATAAAAATCTTCTCAAGATTGAAATTAGTCCTGATGTTTGTTTACATGTACGTTGTACGTAAATTGTACAATACTGTACGTACATATTACATGTAATGTTTGTTCAAGGTGCATTGTGCATTTATT